AGACCTGATTTCATTTACCTCCCTGCAGACTTGCCGTCTTTCCATGTAATTACTATTGTTCGTTGTCTCCAGCTGACCCAAGTTCACACGGTCTGATTCCAGATGACCTTAAGACCTGCGGAAAGAGCCAATGGGCTTGATGAAAGACGGAATCCGACCCCTCCATACAGTCCAGAGGCAGGAGCAGGAATGCACGACCGCAGGTCTCACCCTCCGGCCAGAGCTTTCCTGAGAGCTCCCCAGCCCTGACCTCCAGGGAGCTCTTGTTAACAGGTAGATCCTGATTGAGCAGGGCTGACAGGTCTCTGCATTTCTGAGGAGCACCCAGGTGATGCCAGGCTGTCAGTTGCAGACCATGTTTTGAACCTCAGTTGATCTCATCCTGAATATAAGCCTAGTAGTGGGTCGGGCAGAAGGTTCACACCTGTCTGCTCACAGAGAAAGACCTTTCCCACATGCATTTCATTCTAGAAATTCCTTGTTGGTGTGCTTGGTAGTGTCTCAGTGTGCATACAGGTGTGCCTTCCCACAGAGGTCAGAGGACAGAAGTGGTGTGTGAGACCCAGGCTGGAGAATGTCTACACAGCGGGTTTCTGGACAGGCTGTGGGCTTTGATAGTGAGCTTTTAATTTGGTGGCAGATGTGTCATCCTCACAACTGATGCCCTTCATGTCAGTACTTATGTTATTTTGATGGTGACACATGGAGCATCTGAGGAGATGGCCTAAAGTCCAGGGCCTTTAGAGGGAAAGCACAATGCCTGACTTCAAGGAGCTCACCGTACAATGGGGCAGCAGGCCCCATACCAGTGGAATTGGTCAACTGGGGGCATATGTACAGAGCACTGCAGGGGCTCTGTCTGCAGGCGCTGAGGGAGCAATTTTTGGGCTGAATCTCATTCGAAGGAGATGCCAAGTGAAAAGGAGAGCCATGAATTCCAACCCATGAGCAAAAACCCAGCATCAGCAAAGGTCATGAATTGGGTGCCACATTGGGAGCACCCTTTCTCGCTGATGTCCCCATTTTACATTTGTGGACATTGAGGCCCAGAGGGTGGAAGTGCCTACACTGAATAGCCTTGGAGGAGACTCCACAGAGGAGTGAACGTTGAGGGCTTTGAAGGATGTGTAGGATTTTGCCTGGTGAGAAGCGGAGGATACCCAGACTCGAGACAAGTCGCCAAGGAATGGCAGAGAAGTTTAGACAGAGGGAATGGAGTGTGTGGAAACCTAGAGGCGGTTGCAGAAATGACTAGCAGGCATGGTTTTTCCAAGGCCACCATGCCTTTCAGGGACTGAGCATGGACTGCAACCCAGGTCTCTGACTCTCAGTGTGGGTACTCACTTACTGTGGGGTTGTAGAACCTGACCTCTTGAGCTGTCAGATTGGAATTTCATGGCAACATGGGAGGGCACTGGAACCACTCATTGAACCAAGAACAGACCCCTGATGAACTCCATGTGGGTGAGATATGAGGAGGTCCCATGAGAATTCAAGTCCTGGGAACGTTCATGGAACCCAAATACCAGATGAGCTCCATGCCTACACTGAATAGCCTCTCTCTCCATCTCTCTCCCTCTCCCT